AACAGAGTGACAGCCACACGCTGCAGCCATCGTGCCGACAAGTCCGACGCGGCCGCGCCCACACCCACAGCAGCAAACACACAAAAAAAGAGATCTGACACTCCGTGCCACGTCCTCGTGCGTGATGGTGCGGCATTTCAGAGCAATACAGCTACACGCCGTGCAGCATTCCCACAGGGGATGAGAGCCGCGGCGCACTCTCAGTGCATCTTTATTTTTCATTTTCGCGGAATGCAGCAGCTGCCAGCACCGAGTGCACGAGAAGCATCAAGCTGCACTGCAACATGTACGCCGTGCGGTTGTGTGTCTGCAGACACGCAAAGCAAAAAAAAGAGCCATGCACGTGAGGGAACAAAAAGAAAACACGCAGCGGAGGTGCAAGACAGACAAAGAGAAAAGAAAGAAGGCAGCCAAAGCTCAAGATGGCACGGCAGCCCAACATGCGGTAACCCACAATACGCCTGCAGAAACAAAAAATAAAAACTTAAAATAAAAAACAAAAATAAATAAAATGCAAAAAACAGTTCCCTTGAAAAAGTTTTTCACGCTCACAAAAAAAGGAAAAAATAACACAGTGATGCAGAAGAACAAAGAAAACACGTGTATATTCTTCCTGTAAAAGTAAAAATATATTTGCGTCAGCCGTTCAACCTCCTGGTGTCCACACAACACCCACATTTCATTGGGACGTTCAGTGCGTTGCTGCACATCTTTAATCCCTTCTTCACCGCACCATTGCCGTGGAGCTCAATGCCGACTGCACGTGTCATCAAAGTACGGAAACATTAACGGCATCCCGCCAATCTCAATATATTCCAATATATAAAAAAAAACAAGCATATAGAATAAAGCAAAAACGAATACCTCGCGGTGCGGTCCCGGGAGGGAGAGCACGCTTTTAAATAAAGAATTGCACAGGCGGAAAAGGGATATTCAAACCAAAAATATATAAAATAAAAGGTACGTCCAAGCAAAACGTCAATTATTCCAGAGGGTGCGTGGAGAGGTACATATTGCTCCCACTGGAGGCAGGGGTCCCGCCGCGTTACGCCCCGTAGAGGGCCGCAATGCCCCAAATCCCCAGCAGCAGCAGCACCCGCAACACGCCCCCACGCACACGGAGCCTTCACTCTTCGTGACCAGTTTTAGTTCATCTTCACTCAGTGGGCGGTTGTACAGAAAGAAGTTCGTCACCGTCGCATTGCTGCCGCTGTCTCCCTCGTCGCCCCCAATGTAGAAGAATGGGACTTCAGCCTCACGCGTCTCAGGTGTTCGTATCGCCTTTGGGCTCCCCACAAGCTCAGCATTCACGTACACAGATCCCCTGTGGCCGTCCTGCAGCATGAGCGCCACCTGGTGTTCTTTCCCAGGCTCCCAAGTGCTGCCCGATGCTGTTTTTTGTGCCGTAAAACACTATCTCCCACCTACTGTCCGCGTTGTGCGACAGCCCAATGAAGTTCGTGTTGACGGGTGCATCCAGACCCGCACCCAGCAGAGGAGTGCCCAACTTCAAAAAATTTTTGGATCATCACCGTCGCCACAATAGTGAAATCGCAGCTTACAAAGGTGTGCGGCCCATTATGCTCCCGGCTGCCCACGGGCGACGTTGTCCCAGACCCAAGCCCCGTGAATTAAAGCCCATCTTTGGCCTTCATTGCATTCTTCGTCACAATTGCATTCACGCAAAAGTAATCGTCGAACCACGTGTCACCACCGGACAATGCGTTGGAAAGGAAACCAACCAGAGCCGCCGTGGGTGTGAACGACTCAGAGAAGGAAGAATCCAGCTGTGCCCAACTCTTCAAGACGTAATTGATCATCTGTAGCCCCTCTGTTAGTGGGACAAGTGAAATGTTGTTGCTTGCTTTAATAATCCCATCCTGTAAAATGTGCAACGCACCATTCGAGTACAGCAGGACGTGAAAAAAGTTCCCAAGTTTATTATCCATGGCAAC